TGACAAAAACAATCCAGGCAAACAATACATTCTTAAGTAACAGAACCTCAGGGACAACTGCTATAGCGTAAAGGACATAGACACTTTATGGTGCATTCTTCATACCAAGCATTGAAAACTGTTAAATATATTTTGCACTCAAGAATCATGCCATTGTATCAATGAATGTGACAAGAAATAGAAGAAACTTATACTGTTTAGAGGGAGGGGCGACAATATTGACAATATAGACAAACTATTATAATAATAAAAAAAGAGAGAATGAGTGAATCCATCAGTATGACAGAAACAATAGTATGACATGACTGGGAGTGTTAATGCGAAGGATTGGCAGACCTGACCCAGACAAAAGCCCTACCCTCTTTGCAAAGAATGCCTCTACCATGGCAGATGCCCTGGTTCATATACAGTCCTGGGACTATCAAGAAATAGGCAATGAGGAATGTGCATAATGTCCATTATAGTACAGAAATCTAGCTTTTATCAAAATTATATTTTAAAACAAATAAACACATACCAAGACCCATTCAGCTGCTGTTTGTTTTTAAGTACCGTGTAATTTGCCCTTGAGTTACCTAAACTTTAAGGCTAAAAAGACAACTTTTTGGCAAGTTAAAAGTCTGTTATTCACACAGTACATGTGTGTGAGAGAGAGAGGAAGAGGAAGGAGAAAGGGAGATATTAATAGTAGGGCTCTGGTCAAAGTGATTATGCTAGTTTTCAAGCTGTCCCAGTATAATGCAATGCAAGAGAGAGTGAAATCTACTGGTGTGGATACCATGGGCACCAACACAATCACCTCTATGACTGGGAATACTTTCAGAATCTTTAAGGAGGTTTTATAGGTTTTGGTATAGTAAGTGGAGAAAGGGGTGGGAATACAAATGTACTTTTAAGTGATTCTTTTTTTTAAGTAGTGCAACTTTCCTCTAGAATCTAAATTAATTCAGTCAAAAGCAAACTGTTACAAGTACTAGTAAAGAGTGCTACTTCATAGACGGTGTAGCAGCAATTAGTAATCAGGAAAACAACTACAAATGGGATCCAAGACTCCAGGAATACTCTATCTCTACTAAGTCCTTTATTCAGTGTGCAAACCAGGCCTAGTACACCTGCAACAAAGGGAATGGTGATTGTTCCCATAGCCTGTACACAGCCCAGTGACCAAACTAGTTGTATACAGGATGTTTGTGGTAGGAACTTTCCATGGCTTCTTAAGATCTGAACAACAACATTGTGTCCCTAACACTATAGGAGGGAGTCATAACTGTTCCCCATGCAATTTTCCTCAATTCAAATTATCCTTCACTCCTACTGCTGTTTCCTCTGGGAAGGGGTGGGTATGCAGGGAGATTTGCATAAAATCTTTTATCCTATCCCCACACGAGATAAAAACCAACATTATTTTTACAGCTGAGATGAGACAAACTAAAGACTAGAGATGAAGTTATGACAGTTTGCATTTTTGTCAGGCTGTCATCTACACATTATTCTTTAAAAAATTACTCACTGCAGTTCTTGATGTTGCTTATATTGGAATCCAGTTAAAGCAAGAAAGCATTGTATTTGATTCCCGCCCTCTCCCCCCCTCCCCCTTGTCATTAAAGTCATAGCTAGATAGAGAATATTGCCACCTTTTAGGGTGAACTTCACACCATCTTGGCAAACATGTGTTCCCATACACGCATCTGCTGCATTAATGCAAGTGCAAATCATTCACGTAGGAGAATCAATGGAAGGAAGAGATGGAACAGTCCCTAACCTTTGCTGTACTCACCATTTAAAAATATTTCCATGCATTTGAAAACATTTCTGTACTGTTCACCAAGTACAAGTTATCCAGCCACTAAACATCAGCAAAAATGCCAATACAAAAATAAATCATAACTAAAATCAACGATTATATAGCATAATCAGTAGCCAGAACCTAAAAATTGTAACAGTATCAAACAATGGGGTGAATTAAAATAGTTTTCAATATGTGTCTAAACTGCATCAAAGTTGGCATGCTATTTTATTTCTTTTGAGGACAAATTCCACCACAAAGAAAAAAATTACCCTCAGAAGATGTAACCCTGTACTACCTCAAAATCTGCAACTGCCCAGATTACGACAACGGCATTCCCAACTTCTGTCTTCTCCGAAGAACTTTGGCAGGAAGTTACAGGCAACAAGCAAAGCAGCCCAGTGCCATTCAGGTTTATTTAACCAGGACTTTATTTTCAAGGCCCACATGAAAGGTGAACTTTCAAACTTGGGCAGAATGTAAAAACCAGTTGAAACCTCTTCTCGCCAAACGGTTGGTTTTGGCAGAAGCTTCACTTCTTGTTCTGCCCTCGTGGGAACGTTCGAGTAAATTCAGTTTTCTCTCTCACCACACTTTTTCACCTGTTTTGTTGCATTTAGATCTGGTATTGAACAAAATATCTGAAGTGTTTTTAGTAAATTTCAAGGGAACAGATTTGCAGTGCTGCAGCCTATTAAACAAAGTCAATGCTTCACACACAAAAAGACCATGGCATATCAACCATGTTTCTGGCTCAAGTTCAACCAACCACTGACAGAAATCCAAAAATTAAAAAGGGCCTTACAAATGAATTTTTTTTAACAAGACCCTCTGTTAAAATAATTAAAAATAGCTTTTATGATGCATCTTCACCACCAAAATACTAGTGATTTGCTTTTAATTATGACAAAGCAGAGCCAAAAAAAATTATCTGGGCAATATATTTAGTATGTCTTTGGACCTTCTCCCTCATCTGTGGGCTCTTTGACCTGCCCTTCTTTCCTGCTCTTTTTCCACTCAAACAACAAACAAATTGTTAACTCCTTCATAATGAAAACAAATTTGGGAAGTGAAGGAATCCTACACAGGTAGTCCTAGGCCTACAGGAGGGTTTAGGTCTAGGTAGATGGCTTCCTTGGTGTTTATAAAACAGGGGCAAGAAAGATATGGCCTGTACAATCCCACTATGCTACATATGAGCACGCTTCTATGAGAGCATGCATATAAAAATAAAAATAAACATGACAAACTGTTCAGAGATCAAACACATTTCTAACTTTGCAGCTGCTTTGCTTGTAAGCAACAAAATGCTGCCTTAGCCACTATATTTATTTACAAATATATATTAGGCATATTTATATTGTGTTATTTACAGAGAGAGAGTTCATCCGACAAATCAATATAGCAGTTTACATGGTTAATTTGGGATTTAAATTATAATTCTTTAGAATTTACTACAACTTTAAGATGTAGTAAAATGTTCAATTATAGTTATAATATAAAATCTAAATTATGATTTTGTGATTTAATTTTCTAAGCTGCCTCTTAAGCACATTATAGAAAGAATGTCAATGTAAAAAATAATTAACAAGTAGATAATGGATGAACTGATAGGTCAATACCCAGTTTTTCCTGTATGTACCCATATTTATGCAAATGTAGTTTGGGTAATATCTGAACTAGAGGGCTAAGGGCTTTATTTTTGCATGTTCTTGCATGTGAAGAGATCCTATGCCAGGGAGAAGATATCTCTAGGTTAAGAATAGGTATGTATTAAATTTTCTGGGAAAGAAATTGGGGCCTAGTTTTGTCATTACATTTGTACTGGGGAGAGGGGAGAAGACGATAGAAAATAACGTATCGAATAGGAACACTGTTCATTACTTGCCACGCTGGGAAGTGCCCTGAGCTGTGCAGAATAGATGATATGAGTCTGCCAGTAATGCCATCCGCAGGCGCTGAGATGAACCTCCTGACATTGTCCAGAGGCTGCTCCATGCACACTGGGTGGACATACTCTAAAAAAGGAGAAAAGGCTCCTGACAATATTATTAAACTGAAACTAAGGAAATACAAAACTATGTTGGGATACAGGAGATGATACAAAGGTAACCTGATTTGACACAGCAGAGATGTGCAGTTAGGAAAGGAAAAGTTCAGTTAAGAGGAGAGAGCAACTAGAAAAGAGGCTGAATGACCGGGTCTCTGACTATCTAAACAAACTACAATAAAATAAGGAAAAGCATGAGAATGAGAAATAAGGGAACAACAAAGGAAGGAGGGGACAGAGATTGGTAGATTTCTCTCAATCAGCACAGCAAAAGATAAACACACAAATCACCCCCCTGCCAGTCCATTCAGATCTCAAAGTCTGCAACAAATTAGGTGTATCTGGGCAAAGGCTAAAAATTAACCAGCATTTTCTGTTTCAACTGGAAACAAAACAAAACCAAAAAAGAGCCAAAATATGTATATTTTAAAATTAATAATGGCTGGCATGCACAGTGCACACGTGTGCGCACACACACACATACAGTAGGGTTTGGGTGGAGAAAAAACAAAACAGAAACAAAACCAAACGGTTCCAAACCATCTCATAAAATGCTCCCTCTCCGTTGAGAAACTTGTTTCTACATGGGACAGCAGACACGGAAAATTTTATTGCTTGAATGCTGCTGTGTACTGTATAAAAATGTCCATGATTGCTTCTCTGTATATTTGTGGTTTTGCAAACCATGGGCACACCAATATATTAAATCAAGCCAGCACTGGGAATTAGGAAAGGGAGAGTGAGAGACAAATCAAGCAAGGAAAACAAAAGCCTCACTTTGAGATAAGTGCTCCCCAATTCCAAATCCTAATAAAACCAATCTTCTTCTCTTTAGTAAATGAGCATTTACATATTCTTATTCCCCAGCTTGCAGGAAAAGGGATTTTCCTCACCATGGGAAGTCCCAGCCATCACAGGCAGGAGAGAAACAGGTAGTCATGAAAGGTCATTTGCCCACTGTGACTTTTTTCAAAGACAGGGTGGGATGGGTCATCTTAATACAGTTTTAAAATTAGCAGTCTGCTAAATTTTGGAGGAAAGAAACAGAAAGAAAACAAATAACTTCAATAAAAAGTAACTGTCTTTAAAGTTAAGAACACATATAACAACATTTTTTTTAAAAAAAGGCAGCAACAGTGTAGCAGTGGAATTTGTATGACCTACCAGGAGTGTGAACAAAATACGCCAAGTAAAGATCCAGTTCTTTAATTGTGACTCCAATGTGATGTGGCTGGACACAAAGGCCCGGGTTTGAGCACTGCGGCGACTTGTACAGCCGCTCCCCGTCAGTACTTTCAAGAGGGATCCCTTTGAACAAGATGACCATAACTAGGTCCAGCCTCCAAACCTTGTCAGCTTGCCTCAGGCAGTCAATCCTGCGGATTTTGCCCTTCTGATCTGGGTTGGAGAGGACGCAACACGGTGCCTTCTTGCCCGTAATGGTCAAGACAAAGTCCTCACGAAATTCTGGGCGGATGTCCTTGCGTAGCTTGGCTAGCAGCCGGGACGCCCATTTCTGCTTGATCTCAGGCTTTTCACCCAATAATTCATCCTTCACAGCGCGCTCCTCATCCTTGGACATCCGCTTCTCATGCTTCTTAAAGTACTTTCGTTTCCGAGCTTGCAGGTTGAACCATGTGTAGGAAAAGGCACGGACATGAGGAAGGAGAGCTTCAATGAAAGGGTGGAATTCATCCTGAGGAGAACGGGACAAGAAGAAAGGGTGCAAAACATGAGAAAAAAAAAACCTCATTAGAATAATAAAAAGGGAGAGCAGGAAATCACTCTTACCACTGAATTTTTTTCCTAATGCCAAAAACAATTGCAAACTGAGGAACAAACAATTTCATCAGCAACAAACCAGCAGTGAGATAAAATGTACCAAAAGAGGGCTGCCAAGCAGGGACGTGAAAGGGTAGAGGATGGGTGCTGGGGAATAATTTCATTTCTTTAATGTCATATAAAAAATCTTTAAAATAAGAATAAAATCATGAAAGTAAAATTTGGCTTTCCTTAAAAATAAAAGTTTGTTTGACAATGCTGTGATTAAAGGCAAAACTGATTACACACTCTCTCACCAAACACAACGCCTTGAATTATTTCTATATAATCAAATAATTTTAGGGGTCTGTCTGATTTTATTTATTTTTAAAAAATAAAATTAAAAAGCATTCAGACAGGGGAAAAAATTGAAATAATTACCATTGCTCTGGCTCATCCCGGCGAAGCTAAGCCCCCGATTCAGAAATTGTGGGCTCAGAATTGCAGAGTATGGAGTGGGGGGGGGGGATACTGGGACTGTGAGGTGGAAGCGGGAGGAGGTGAGAACAAGGAGAAAAGTAAAAAATGTAAGAAGGAAGTGCACAGTGCACAGAAGAGAGAAGGATGTTTCCTAAATTAGATGGAAAGCAATTGTTGGCTCCCTTCTTCACTGCAAACCCTTAACCAGATTGTTCAAGTCTTATTCAATAAAAAGAGTAGGAGAGCAAAAAAGCATTAAAAATTGAAAAAAATCAAGTTAAGAATGGAAACATCAGCAAAGAACAGAAATAATTCAACCTCACCCCCGCCGGCTCAACAGAGAGAAAATAGGATCAAAAATACCAAAGAACAAAAGAATAAATACGAAATGTGATGATAGTAGTGGTGGTGATGATGATGATGATGATGATAACAATAACAGTAATAATAATACACAATGAGAGAAAAAAATAAAAACAAGGGAGGGAACAACAGCAACTGATCAGGAGGGGGAGCTGAGAGGAGGGAAAAGAAGCTCGTTCAGCGTTGGCAAAGACGCAAAGATGCAACTTAGATGTGGTTCCCTCCGCCTGAGAACAGGGGTGATCGCAGGTCTAGGGGAAAAGGGACAGACTCCGCTCTGGAATCAGCTGTGATCGGCTGCTGGCAAAACCCAACTGCTGGGGTATGGGGGATTTGGTTGTTGTTGTTTCCCCCCTGTTTTTTTCCTTTCCCTTTTTCCTCTTAAACTCTCTTGCTTGCTTGCTTTCTCCTTTCATGCTCAGTCCCCAACCATTTGCCTGTGCCAATGCCAGTAGAAAAAAAAGAGAGAGTGAAAGGGGGGGGGGGAGAAGGAGGATCCACCTATTTGGCAAGGAGACACATCGTGGAGCAGCCAATGGCTGCATCAAAGGGAAAGGGAGGTGGAGGGGGGGGGAGGTTGGCGGAGAAAGAATCAGGAAGGGGGTGGCACAGAAAGAGAGAGAGAGGGAGAGAGAGAGAGAGATTGTGCAGTTAAGAGATTGAAAACAATTTGCCAAATCGACAAGTTCATATCTAATGAATAAGCCAAGTCCAGCCGCAATGAAATTTTTATTGGACAGCAGATTTTGGCAAAGAGGTGACTGGCAAAATATTTTAAACAAATAAATATCCTAGCATCCACCTTTCTATTCACTCTCCCCCCCCCCCCCCCCCCCCCCCCCCCCCCACAAAGACATCCCACAAGGCCTCAGAAAAAGCAGCTGTTCTGTCTTCTCTCTCCATCTCATTCTCTTTCTGTTGTCTCTCTCTACTCTCAACTATTTGTATAAAAAGAAAAGGCCAAGGGAAAACATTTCCTTCCAATTATAACATCTTCTCTTCAGCATGCATAGAATTAAGATATCGCTATCCTACTTTTTCTCGCTACCAACATTGTTTATTTGAAGTCTATTCACCCCCGCACTCGTAAAGATATTATTTCTCAAAGTTTCTAAGGTGGTCTGTTACAGAAAGGATTTTTCTTACTATGCTGAGGTTATTGGTAACATTGTGTACCTTGTTCCTTCTCCCAGTCGTCTACTATTTCCATCCAGAAAATTCCCACTCCTTTCCAACTGTAACAACATCACTGGCAGATTAAATTAACTAGTCTCACATCCCACATGGAGGCTAGTCACTTAAACCAAAATCTTTCAATGGCACACACCACTACTATAACCTTAAAATTACAAAGCAATGTATTGCAAAGACATTAACTATTTTGAAAGTCATACAGCAAAGAGCAAATATTTCAAGATATACCATCTCAACACTCCCTTCTTTTTATTGTCTTGTTATTATTGCTCACGTCACATGCTTTAATCAAAATGGAATCCATAAACGCAATTCCAGGAGAAAACCAGTAATTAATTTGAAATAAAGGAAGGAGGGGGGGAGAGGAATAATAGCATGAGGCAGAACAATGCAGAATATAATCCCAAAAAGGCAAGAAAAAGAGAAATAGAAGAGAAAAGAGAAGTGTTAAATTTCAAGAGTAGTTTTTAAAAGGAAGGAAAGAAAGGGGAGAAAAGCAGAAAGCTAAAATTAAGGGGTAGAAACTGGATGTGGCCCACACTTTTCTAACCGCCATCCCCAAGTATTTGGTGTCGGAGAAGATCATAAAGGCAACAATAGGAGCACATTTCCTTGGCATGCTTCCTTTTCTAATCCTATCCATCCATGTACATTACCACTCGGAACCTCTCCGTGCCAAACGGCAGAGACAACAGAGCGGTTCACTTCAGAGAGGGTGAATTTACATGCAAACTGGAGGTTTAGTCCCTCCAAAGTGAAAGACCCTGTACATTTAAACTGGAAAAACTATCTCTGAGTATTCCTTGCCTAAGAAAACCCAGTGAAATGCATAGGATGTCATAAATCGATGAGAAATGTAAGGGCACACATACGCACACATTCTTGTATCTCAATAGCCTCTGAGTATCTGCAGCCTTGACCATGCTTGCCTTGCTGCAGCCTTTGAGAGGCCAAATACTCCAGCAAGGGTGGGGTGGAGGGGTACTCTGTGGATATGGCATAAAAGTGGGACCTACGCCGAGCCCTTCCCTATTGCCCAGGGCCAGCTAAAGGCCTTGCTGCCAGATTTCCAGCAGTTTAAATCAGAGCTCCCGGATTTATGCTCACAAATCAAAGGGCTTAGGCTTTCCCCCCTCCATCACTCCTTCTGTAAGGAATGGTGAGGGGCTACTTCCCCTCTCCGCACCCCACCCCAGGCTAACAGACCTGGTACCAGCTAGCCTGGGCCACATTAAAAGCATGCTACAGGTTCTCAAACCTCTTCCTGCTCACTTGCTCACTCATAGGAAATAGGTTGTCTGCTTGGGAAAAACACAGGCCTCCCCACACCTCTCTGTGACCTTAGCGACAAACCCTCAGAGGACTGCAGACAAAGGTGATCTGTCCACAGCAGTGTTAGGTAATACCTGAGTCTACCCCTTCCCCTCCATCAGGCAGATTAAAGGTGGGTGTGCAGGCAGGCCGCGAAGGTGGAAGAGTTCCACCCAAACACAAAAGCTCAGAGATTATTTTTCAATATTTGGGGGGCAGGAACGGGAGAGAGTGGGTAAGCTGAAACACCAGAAAGGAGAATAAAGAAGATAAAAGGGGAAATGAACTCCTGCCCTTCTCCTTCCCTCCCCCCCAAACATTTTTGAAGTCTGTCACTGAAATTTAAACTTCATTTAAAGTAGTCACTTCCTTGTTACCTGGGAATTTACGGCTTCCCGGGTTCTTATAGACATAGGATTCTTCTTGTAAAAGGATGCCTTTTCTTTGAAACTTCAAGCATCTAACAACATTTGCATTTTTTAAAAAACAAACTAAAATATTGTATGATTGGTGACTATAAATACTTGAACAGCTTTCTATGTGTAAGATATTGTAGCACAGAATTGTTTTAATTAATACTAAGTTTGCAAAGACACACAAGAGGAGTAGCAAACTCTGTATTATGAAGGTAAAACAAAACAAAACCAAATAATTTTCTTCTGTCACCAGCTGAACCATCTCTTTCCTGACCAGATTAGAAATTGAGCACACAATAAAACAAGATGTACGAACCTCGTCTTGGTCTAAGGTCAAATCGCATGCATGTATTGCGAAAGCAATGGTTTCATAAAATACGATTTTATATTATCAACAGCAACAAACAACAACAGTATAGTACAGTACTACCATGTTAACTGTTTTGGGGGTGTCTTCCCAGTCTTGTATTTTTTTTTTCTTAGAACAGTAGCAGCAGGAATAGTAATGCTTATTTTAGACACACTTCAGGACTGTCGAAACACCTGCTCCCTACAATCTATTTCATAGCCCAGCATCCTTGAAGACAATAGAAGGATTTTTAGGGTGTATTTCTTGTACTGCAACAACACACTGATTTCCCTGATGATGGTGTCACCCTCAGCAACCGCTGGGATTGTTTGTGTACAAAGGCAAGCCTAGGCAATGTTAGCCTGCATTAAAATGATACTCAAACCACAATTAAAAATTAATATGGATCTATAAGATCTTATAGCATGCCCATTCATTAAAGTTAGTTTTTATGGCTTATACTGTTGTTCTGTCCTCCTTGCCCTTTGATACACACAGGATGGTGTATTGGTTTGAGCGCTGAACTACGACTCTGGAGATTAGAGTTTGGATCCCTGCTCGGCCACGGAAAACCCATGACGTCGAGCAGTCACATATTGTCCATTTCAGAGGAAGGCAAAACCCCGAGAGAGGTTCACCTTAAGGTTGCTGTTAGATGTTAGAAACAACTTGATGACACACAACAGTGTAAAAATCGCAACTTTAATTTTAAAAAGCTAATCTCCTTTTTTTGCATTCCTGACAAAAACATTAAATTAACATATAACACACTATATGGGATATGTACAATGTTTTCCATCTTATTCATAATTCTGTAATTATGCGATGCAATCACTGATAAACTAGAAAAAAATATGCATTAATCAGGAAGATATATGGGACATATTCAATTAATTTTTAAATGCGAGTTGATATAAAAGTTAAGAGTATACTGGACTTAACAGGAATATTTGCTACCCAATGCAAATGATACTATAGAAGAATTGCAATTGGAGCAACGCACGCATCCAAACTTTCTGTGGGTTCTAGCCATGGGAACCGCTGAGCATCCAAAACAAGGGAATAATTATTCTAGTTCATGGGTTTTCATGGCGGTTTTGGGCATGTCCACTTCAGTACAGCAATAGTAGCCAAATTCATATTCTTGCAAACACAGTATTTTAGCAGCGTGCTGTCTTTTGCTAAGATCCCACTCAGAATGAGCTTACTCCGTCACACGGTTACCACGTGAAATTCAATGAGGCCTATATCATCTGGATCACACTTTAAATTTGTAAATTTTACATCTAGAAAGAGGATGGTTTACTTATAAACCATCCCTTTTTGGAATGACAACATCCCTATTTTTAAACATAATGTCATTACTGCTAACTTTGTTATAGTATGTGAGTGCGTTGACACAAGCAATATTTATTTCTCAATTCAAGATGTTATTCAGAAGGTAATGTAAAATATTTCATCATTTGGAGCCTTTTTGTGTGCTTTTAAACTTAATAGCGAGAGAACCACCTAATTTTAAATAAGTATCCTTCTTACCATTCACAAGTAACAAATCACTTTTTATAAAAACAAGTAATGCCAACAGGCTGCCTTTTGCAATAATGTTTCCAAGCTCTAATTAAGCCTACTGAAGAAACTGACTTTGATTGTTTCCCATACTCTAAGTAATATTTTGCGTAAATAAAATATTGTGCACTCCTGTGCACTCTCTCAGATAAATCAACAGAAGAGAAGAGAACAATAAAGTGGAGGGAAGGAGCTAAACAAAAATAGAAACTTTTGATATAAACAATACTGGGGGGGGGGGGGGGAGAGGAAAAAACCAAACAAAATGTGATGGCAGATAGTATATCTCAAGTTTTTGGGGATGAAGGGCATGGCAAAGAAGAAGCCATATGAGAATGCAAAAGAAAAGTACAGAGTCAGACATGATACGCTTGTAATTAACTGTGGGTTGCAAATACACTCCAATACTACTACAACAACAACTACTACTAGCGTATCAGACATGATACGCTTGTAATTAACTGTGGGTTGCAAATACACTCCAATACTACTACAACAACAACTACTACTACTACTACTACTACTACTACTACCACCTTTGGCACTCACAATGTAAAGCCTCATTTCTTTTTCAATAATTCCAAATGCATTAGCAAAAAATATATATGGTGCTATGCTGGT